TGCCTTAACCACCTGGCCATGCCGGGCTGGGGGGGCATATTAAGAATTAGTTTAAAACGTGTGATTTTAGATATTAGATAGGTTTCACTAAAATATTGGATTTCGATACGAAACTCTTGGGTTTCATTCGAATTGACTACCTTATTTCACTTTGTCATATTCACCAGCTGTTAATATATGATACTGAACCGAATGTATCTACTTGTTCGGGTCGGGCGTGGCCTAACATATTGTGAATCTGAGTGTTGTTCATGGTCTGTATTCCAGTCAATATTTGATCAAAGAATTGGTTTGATTTATTTTGAATTTCGCGCAAAGCTATATGAGGGCTAACTGCTCTAGCCGTCCCTAATTTAGCAATGAAAGACTATAGAGAAGGCAGCTAGTCATCACCCCCAACCGCCAACTCTTGGACTACTCTTTTACTAAAGAATAGTGGGATTGACTGACACATTATAACGCCACCACGGCTGAAAGGGCGAGCACGTTTGGTGGGACGGGGATACGAACCCGAGACCCTAATATTGCAAGTCAAGCACCCTAACCACCTGGTTATGCCGGAGTCCGATCAAACAAGAGCAACCCAAAGGGTAGCGGCGAGTGCGTTTGACTGTCTTCCCTCTAGTCTGTCAGTTCAAATTTAGGTACGACTATGTGCAGATAGCCCTTGTTTAGTTTTACAAAAAAATATATCTCTCTATATGGAAATAAGCAGATTAAATTTACGTTTCTAAAGATGTAAAATTTGATCTGATTCTAACATTTTTGTTTTCCTCGTGAAAGTATGCGGTAAAGAAATAAAAGAAATACGTCGTGCAATACAAATCAAAAACATCGCGATCGAAAAAAAAAATTAAGAACATTGACTCGTTGATTGACAAATTTTTGAAGTAAATGACACAATTCGGAGCCGTTTTTCTTTTTTAGTGCTACATAATACGTGCAAATGTAACGTTAACCATTATTTAACAATTTTTTTCTGGACCTAGTAGTTGGACATGCTTCCCAGTGACAGTCAATGTCTCTACTCTATTTCTAAATTGAGGACCAGTTTGGTTGAGCTTTGGAGTGAGTGATCTGGATGTTTAGTCCACGTGTCACACATTAGGTTCCGCCCTTAAATCATATTTATTAGTCCTAGGGATTTTTTCAATCATGCCAAAGTTGTGTTGACATTTTCAAAATAAGGTATTTTAAGGTTTAGGAGTACATAAACCTGTTGAAGAGTAGATTTTGAGACTTATTTAACCACGAATCACAAAGTGTATTTATTCCTCAAGGCTTACATAGTCAGAACTGATGAAAGACTTTATTAAATCTGACATGACTAAGCCTAATGAAGAATACATTTTAAGGCTTACGTAGTCAGATTTGATTGTAAAGGTTTACTTTCCCATAGATGATGAAGCCTCGCGTAGAGCCAAGAATCAAGCAGCAGGCCAAATGAATGTTTAAAATTTAAACTCATTTTATTGGTTATCATACTGTTACAATTGAGGTTTCATAGCAGTTTACAAATGGAACAGTTATGAAACATTTGAAATTTGTTTTACTACAAATTCCCTTCAGATGAGAATAATAAACGAATTTTTGATCTGTGATTTATGTCGTTTTAACTGACTGTTGATTACATGGCTACCGAA